CTCTTTTTAAAAAAATATAGCCATAATACCATGTAACACTTAAATATCACCCAATATCCAGTCTGTCACTAGTCAATTGTCTCATCAATATCTTTTTAATTTGATTTGAGTCAGGATACAAATAAGACTCCTTTTATTTGGTTTGTTATGTCTCTCAAGTCTTTTAAAATTTATAATAGCTCCGCCCCCCTTTTTGTTTCAATTCCTGCCATTTATTCATTGATAAAAGCTAGGTCGCTTGTCCTATAGTCTCCCCCATTCTAGATTTTGGTGATTGCTTCTCAGCAGTGTGTTTAACATGTTTCTCTACTCCTTGTGCTTGCTATTGGCAGAGAGTTAAATCTAGAGGTTCAGGTTAAATTGTTATGGCAAGAATATTTTGTTGAGGCATTCCTATACACCAACAACAAGACAAAGAAAGAGAAATTAAGGAGTCAATCCCGTTTACAATCGCACCCAAAACCATAAGATACCTAGGAATAAATCTAACCAAAGAGGCAAAGAATCTGTACTCAGAAAACTATAAAATACTCATGAAAGAAATTGAGGAAGATACAAAGAAATGGAAAAAAGTTTCATGCTTATGGATTGGAAGAATAAATATTGTGAAGATGTCAATGCTACCTAGAGCAATCTACACATTCAATGCAACCCCTATCAAAATACCATCCACTTTTTTCAAAGAAATGGAACAAATAATCCTAAAATTCGTATGGAACCAGAAAAGACCCCAAATAGCCAGAGGAATGTTGAAAAAGAAAAGCAAAGCTGGTGGCATCACAATTCCGGACTTCAAGCTCTATTACAAAGCTGTCATCATCGGGCGCCTGGGTGGCTCAGTTGGTTAAGCGACTGCCTTCGGCTCAGGTCATGATCCTAGAGTCCTGGGATCGAGTCCCACATCGGGCTCCCTGCTCAGTGGGGAGTTTGCTTCTTCCTCTGACCCTCCCCCCTCTCATGCTCTCTCTCTCTTTCTCTCTCTCAAATAAATAAATAAATAAAATCTTTAAAAACAAACAAAAAAAATACACAAAGCTGTCATCAAGACAGTATGGTACTGGCACAAAAACTGACACAAAGATCAGTGGAACAGAATAGAGAGCCCAGAAATGGACCCTCAACTTTATGCTCAACTAATCTTTGACAAAGCAGGAAAGAATGTCCAATGGAAAAAAGACAGTCTCTTCAACAAATGGTGTTCGGAAAATTGGACAGCCACATGCAGAAGAATGAAACTGGACCATTTCCTTACACCACACACAAAAATAGACTCCAAGTGGTTGAAAGACCCAATGTGAGACAGGAGTCCATCAAAATCCTAAAGGAGAACACAGGCAGCAACCTCTTCGACCTCAGCTGCAGCAACTTCTTCCTAGAAACATTGCCAAAGGCAAGGAAAGCAAGGGCACAAATGAACTATTGGGACTTCATCAAGTCAACAAAACCAAAAGACAACTGAAAGACTGGGAGAAGATATTTGCAAATGACATAACAGATAAAGGGCTAGTATCCAAAATCTATGAAGAACTTATTAAACTGAACACCCAAAGAACAAATGATCCAATCAAGAAATGGGCAGAAGACATGAACAGACATTTTTCCAAAGAAGACATCCAAATGGCCAAGAGACACATGAAAAAGTGCTCAACATTGCTTGGCATCAGGGAAATCCAAATCAAAACCTCAATGAGATACCACCTCACACCAGTCAGAATGGCTAAAATTAACAAGTCAGGAAATGACAGATGTTGGCGGGGATGCGGAGAAAGGGGAACCCTCCTACATTGTTGGTGGGAAGGCAAGCTGGTACAGCCACTCTGGAAAACACTATGGAGGTTCCTCAAAAAGTTGAAAATAGAATTACCATATGACTCAGCAATTGCACTACTGGCTATTTACCCCAAAGATACAAATGTAGGGATCCGAAGGGGTACATGCACCCCGATGTTTATACAGCAATGTCCACAATAGCCAAACTATGGAAAGAGCCAAGATGTCCATCGACAGATGAATGGAATAAAGAAGATGTGGTATATATATACAATGTAATATTATGCAGCCATTAAAAGGAATGAAATCTTGCCATTTGCAATGACGTGGATGGAACTGGAGGGTATTATGCTGAGCGAAATAAGTCAATCAGAGAAAGACATGTATCATATGACCTCACTGATATGAGGAATTCTTAATCTCAGGAAACAAACTGAGGGTTGCTGGAGTGGTGGGGGGTGGCAGGGATGGGGTTGCTGGGTGATAGACATTGGGGAGGGTATGTGCTATGGTGAGTGCTGTGAATTGTGTAAGTCTGTTGAATCACAGACCTGTACCTCTGAAACAAATAATACATTATATGTTAAAAGAAGAAGAAGAAGAAGAAAAAGAAGAAGAAGATAGCAGGAGGAGAAGAATAAAGGGGGGAAATCAGAGGGGGAGATGAACCATGAGAGACGATGGACTCTGAAAAACAGACTGAGGGTTCTAGAGGGGAGGGGGGTGGGGGGATGGGTTAGCCTGGTGATGGGTATTAAGGAGGGCACGTTCTGCGTGGAGCACTGAGTGTTATACACAAACAATGACTCATGGAACACTACATCAAAAATTAATGATGTAATGTATGGTGATTAACGTAACATTAAAAAAAAAGAATATTTTGTTGACATTGTTTCTTATTAGTCATAGCAGGAAGCACATAATATCCATCTTTTTTTATCTGATTTACCAGTGGGTTCAGATGCTGCTGGCCTGATCTATCCATTAGGAATTGACTCCTTGGTTTTTCATCCACTGTTGTAGAAGCCATTGATAATGATTGACCATGATGATCTCTTTTTGAAATCTACATGAGAGAAGTTATTCCATCCTCTCTTTCTCAAGGGCCCCCCTCATGACAAACTTTTATATTCTTCAGTGACTGCCAACGTGGCTCACACCACCACTCTTGATAGTGATTTCTAACCTTTTGAGGGTCACAGATCCCTTTGAGAATCTAGAACTTTATAAGAAGAAGAAAAAAACAAATATGCATCAGCACTCGGAATTCCAGTTAGTGTCAGAATATCCTGGATCTCAGGTTAACTCTGCACTCTACAAGCTTGTGGTGCAGCTTTGACTTTGTACAGAACCTTGGTAACCCTGACCTTCCCCTAACTTGAAGACTTTACCTCTCACATTGATGATTCTTTTGTTTCCTGACCTCATGGTTTTTCTACTTCTTCAAGACCACTGGTCTTTAACTCCACTCAATTCTACTTTTTTGTAGTTGTCCCAACTGAGACATCATTTACTGTCACTTGAAAATTTTCCTTTGTCAAGAATCCAAACTCAGGGATGCCTGGGTGGCTCAGTCGGTTAAGCGTCTGCCTTTGGCTCAGGTCATGATCCCAGGGTCCTGGAATCGAGTCCCACGTCAGGCTTCCTGCTCAGTGGGGAGCCTGCTTCTCCCTCTGCCTCTCCCCCTGCTGGTGCTCTCTGACAAATAACTAAAAATCTTTTTTTTTTTTAAGATTTTATTCATTTCTTTGACAGAGAGAGACACAGCGAGAGAGGGAACACAAGCAGGGGGAGTGGAAGAGGGAGAGAGAGAAGCAGGCCCCCTGCTGAGCAGGGAGCCTGATGCGGGACTCCATCCCAGGACACTGGGATCATGACCTGAGCCGAAGGCAGATGCCCAACGAGTGAGCCACCCAGGCGCCCCATAAATAAAATCTTTAAAAAAAAAAAAAAAGAATCCAAACTCAGCTTCCCCCCCGCCCCCAACTGCCAACTCCTTGACTTTATTTTGGCCCACCTCATTTCCTACATTCTTTTGACTTCTCAAATCACTGGTCTCAGCCCGATCCATAACAAAGTCTCAAATCTATACCAGGGCATCTCAGTGTTGCTTTCGCTGGGGATTTAGGATCTTTGACTTGTTCATGTTCTACCACGGGGCTCACTCTCTTGTCTGCCTTCTGCTTTTCTTCCAAAGGTGCTCAGAGTGGCAATGCTGACAGCGTCCTTATAAATTCAGACTGAGTTAAGCTGGTCTCTCGCAGTTCACCCACTTCCATTTATCTTTCCCTACTCCCCTATTTCTGTGCTACTCAGATGTTGTTCATGGACCAGTAGCATCAGCATCACCTAGAAACTTAAAATAAATGCAAAATCTAAGGCCTATCCTGGATCTACTGCATCAGAGTGTGCATTTTTAACAATATCCCCAAGTGAATCATATTCACATGAACGATCAAGAAGTACCATCCTATCTGTTCTCCACCTTGGTCGTTCTAAATTTTTCTCACAGTACTTGATTCTTGATTCCCCCGATGGATGACTCTATCAGGCAAGGTCCAATCAGGAAAACAGAAAACACTCTAGGGGCGCCTGGGTGGCTCAGTCGTTAAGCGTCTGCCTTCGGCTCAGGTCATGATCTCAGGGTCCTGGGATCGAGCCCCGCTTTGGGCTCCCTGCTCAGCGGGGAGCCTGCTTCTCCCTCTGCTTGTGCTCTCTCTCTCTCTCTCTCTCTCTCTCAAATAAATAAATAAATAATCTTTAAAAAACAAAAAACAGTCTGGGGAGCGCACGCCTGCACCTGCTGCTCCACCCTTTAAAAGCAGAGGGGAGCTGACTGACCTACTCTCTGCTCCCCAAGAACTGCTTTGTGACCTGGATTGTAGGCTCTGTGGCCTGGGGACCTTTGTGGTATCAGCCTGAGTCCCCGATGTGCCCACAGAGCCCAGCCCTGTGCCTGGCATGGGGCAGAAACCCTATATTTGCTGAATAAAAACAATAACTCAAAGTCAAAGACTTCAATCACCAGGTACTGATGGTACCAGTTCCAGCTTTTCATGGAAGCCAGGGGTCTCGGTCCCGCCATTTTAAAATGGAGATATGGTGCCAGCCCCCATTTACTTCACTGTATTAGTGTTAAGATCAGATAAGATCATATTTGTGAGTCTGTTCTAGTAAGCAAATAAATTGTTTTTATAATGCTCTAAATAAAAAGCTTCACACACCAGTGCTTGCATACACATTTATTAAGATGTAGCCAAGTGAAATGTGTCCGTTCCTCCTCTTGAGTAAAATCTTCTTTACTGATGTGTAACAACGCCCAAGGGCTGGGTGAACTACATAATCAAAATCAAATGCCAGCTTTTTACAGACTTTGCCAAAAGAGTGCAGCCCGAAACACCATTTTAAACTGCAAGATATCTGAGGACACTTCATTCATAGTCTTGCTTTTTGCTGTTGCTGATATATACACTTTAATTTTAATGTTCATCGCAGATCCACATTTAAAAAGAAAAAAGTAGTAGAGAGCAGAGCTGTCAGTGTGAAGGACAATGCAGTATTAAAATACAGCTGCTTTTCATCCGTACTCGTCTAAATTAGAAACATGCTGCCATTCACAGGGGCTCTAATCACACGTGCGCATAAGCAGTACTGAGGCCTAATGGGTGATGTGGGTTCTTCACTTTATTCTGGGTCCTTATCCTCATCTGAAAAATGGGGGACCGACTTCTTGGCAACCACATTGTCCAGTCTCTGTCCTTGTAGATACGGATTGACACTCTGAAAAAAATATAGTTTGGTATTATACCTGAACATCAGATACAGACATCTCACAAAAGACGTGAGTTTGAATTGCTTCTGGCCTAATGGGTTTAAAAACAAGGGGCGCCTGGGTGGCTGTCATTAAACATCTGCCTTCGGCTCAGGTCATGATCCCAGGGTCCTGGGATTGAGTCCCACATCGGGCTTCCTGCTCGGCGGGAAGCCTGCTTCTCCCTCTCCCACTCTGCCTGCTTGTGTTCCCTCTCTCACTGTGTCTCTCTCTGTCAAATAAATAAAATCTTTAAAAAAAAATAAATAAAAAAATAAAAACAAGGTAACAGTGGTACTTACCACCTACCAAATGATTACTCCACTGCATCTTCAATACCTCGGTGTCTGACTGACAGATGTGTCTAATTGTGTCTTTCACGCAACCAAAGAGTTCTTTATCAGATGCACTATGTCTCCCTCCTGCTTTCTGGTACAAAGATTTAGAGTGAACCAGCTAATAAGTTCTCACTACTTAGATACCAAGCCCCATACAAAATAACATTATTATTCTATGGCCTTATTTAGTGGGAGAGAGCATAGGAAATGCATTAAATTATAAGAATGTTCTAAAGAAGACAACAGAGCAGGACCAAGCGGGAATTAGCATCTGCAGACTGGTCATAGGACATCCCGGTGCTGTACTGGTTCTATGCCAGTGTTCTACCTCAAGAGGATTCATCAGTGGCCCTAGAATTCTTCCCTCAGTCAAGTTCAAAAGCTAAAGAAAAGAACTAAGCTATACACAAGGTGCCTTTATTCTTGACTCAAGATGTCGTAGTCTGAAATCTTTTACCTGTTGCTCCTCTGAATGAGTCAAGGTTTTTCCAGTCCTTCTCTAATACATATCTATTTTTTGAGGTTTGGATTTGAACTAGTAATTGGAGCTTTACAACATAGTATTTAGCAAGCAGAAAAAATTTCAAAAGTTTTGGAAGATATTTGTTTATTGAAGTCACTTTCCGGTAACTGAACAAAAATATAAGGAAGAAGCTATAGTTACAAATGATCAGCAATTCCAAGGCCCCGTGAATGAAGGGTGGCAGTTCACAGGTGGGTCTCTCTCGCCAAGGAGACACTGTCTGCCTTGGCTCTTTTGAAGGGTGAGCAGGTCATTCTCCAAAAGAAATGGACCCTGACTTTAGTATTTGTAAATGTCCTTCCACATTCTCACAGCTGAAAGCATGAATCATGAAAGGCCCTACTCATCCAGCAAAAATGCATTACAAACAAGCTGAGAATTACAAAGTGTGCAATGCCTTCATATCTGAAAAGGGACATGTCAGAAAAACACAGTACTTTGCTGGGAAGGCATCCTTAAAATACTTAGAATAACGAAAATACTTTTTATATCAGAGATTGTCCACTAGAATGGCCTGGCTTACTCCAGAGAGTCAGGTTAGAATCTCCAGGTAAGTGAAGCAAGTGTAGACTGAAATAGTGTACTCAATACCATCAATTTCTTCATTGTTTTTTAGTAATAATATTTATTCTGAAAATTCTGAGACATTAAAAAGGGCATGATATTTTCATACTTAACAATGTATGGGAATAAAAAGTTGATAAACCCTTTAAATAAAATAAATAGTAGATTTCAAATATTAACAAGATACATCTTAACAGTTATAGTTTGCAAAGGTGATCATTTAATGGGAAATTGACCTTTTACTCATGAAGCAACTCAGAATTCAACTGGATTTGATCGAATACAGAAAGTTACATAAAAACCACCTAGGAGTCTGTTGTAACTCCAGGGAGGATCCGTCTTCGTAAAGGGACTTTCACAGGAGCAAGTCCTTCTGCCCAGACCCAGAAAATGACAAATATTGGAGGGCAGGGGAAGTAAATTAATGAGGAAGCAGAGGGAACCATCACTTGAACTTTTTTTTGATAAATGTTCATTAGTATTGAATCCTATACATAAGAGGAATAATAGTATGATACTTGGTTTTAATTATACTCTGAAAAACTCAAGGCACTTATATATTTCTCTTCTCTCCTGAGTGAGAGAGACTGGCTAGGTTACAGAGAGAACATTTTTTCCATTTCATAACTGGAAGAAACACTGGGATCAGATTCCTGCTTTTGATGTCCTTTAGAAATCCACAGCAGATACTGAGCTTCGCTGGAGACAGCCTTGGTGATTGGCACACTTGAGGAGGTGAGTAAAGTCTTCAATTAAGTGGAAACTTCACCTGAGGCTTTCAATTAAGTGGAAGCATCACCTGAAGCAAGTTCTGTTTCCCCATCAGTCCTGAGAAGGCCAGGATTTATGGCATGACCATGAGTTTTTGTAGCTGTCTGAGAATAAGAAGAACTTGATACCACTGGGTCAAAATGACCCTTATTTTCATAAATTCTAAGCCTTTCCTATGTGGAGGAAGTTGAGGCCAAAGTACAATCCTTTATAACATGTGTCCTAGCCAGAATTCTTAGTTTTGGTAATCACGGGTCTCATGGACAAATGACCTGAAGCCTGACCCACGGTCATTAACCAAGTCAGGGCAGAAGGAATGGTGAGCCAGGAAATAAATTAAAGCTTCATGCTAAATTATTCATCTGGGGTCGGTCATTGGTCTTATTTGGAAATGTTCTTGTGCCACGGGGAGATATTCAAGCGATCTTACTGGTAAATTATGTGTATTCTGAGCTCCTGAAATAGAATTTCTTGATGTTCTCTCAAGACCACATTACACCCTTCGGACCCTTTCTGCCACCATTTGCCACTGGAAACTGTATTAAAACCCTAATAACCCTGTGAACTCTCTGGAAGAAGATCTGTTTCCAGACAACTTTGCTTCTCAATAGAAAACTGGCCACGTGTCATTTGTATCTTGTTAGGCAGCACAGGGGCTTGGAACTTTCTGTTGCGGGGGCCGTCAATTAATGCTGCATCCAGAAAATCGACATCTCCTCAAGCACCCTGACCGGATTTGGCAGAACCATGTAGGCCGGCCGCAACTACCACTGTCCAGATTCCCAGATGTTGCCAGGATCCAGGAACTTGCCGTTCTAAATAAAGTCAGTGGCTTTGGGTATACGGTTTGGTTTGTATATCTAACTAATGTGGTTACTCTCTGGCAGCACTATGCTGCGGAAGAACAGGACTTGAACTTTCTCCTCCACCTGATCAGAAAAAGAAGGCAGGGGGCCAGGCACTCTGTCCACGAGGGCACCCATGGATTATCAGAACAGACACTGATCACTGATTCAGCCTCGGGGCCATAAAATGCACTGGAAACTCAGAGCAAACTTGACATTCAGCTTTACAAGAGGCAACACCACAGCGGCTCCATGCACGACTCCCAGACCAATGTGCCACCCTGGGCCGCCCTGAGATGGTAAATACCTAAGCCTGCCAGCAAATTCACCCGCCAGCAGACAAATATAACAGATCTAGTGGACTGTACATCATGTTGGCTAGGCGAAGAAAAAGGTATGTAAGAGGAATGAGGTTTGGTCATCTCATCTTTTACCCCTACATTCCTTCAAAATTACTGCCTGGAGCTTGCAGTTCAGCAAGCACTTCCTTGTTCCTGTCTTGTGTTTTTATATAATTGGTGCAAATGTGTGAGCAGTTGCCCCCAGTGGCCTAGAGCCCCTCTGAGGAAAGACACCCTCATGTGCTCCCTGAATTCCCACACCCAGAGCAGGAATGCAATCCACATTTCGCGAATGCAGTGGAGGTGGCTGGATCTCCACAAAGGGGGGCTCCGCTAAGAGCCATGCGCTAAATCGTGGACAAGCCATAGCAGGAACCAACGGCATGGCCCTTGTTCCCCAAGACCCCAGTCGTGCCCTCCCAGGATGGCACAAGAGAGGCTTCAGCTATTTTCCGACCACGGAGGGTGAGTTACACTCAGAAAGCTCCAGACGTCCCACCAACAGCCCAGCCCACCACACGTTACCCTCCGCCTTCGTGTCTGTCCTCCCTTCATCTTCTCATAAAGGAGTTTCTTGTTCTAGAATGGGGAGAAAAAGAAAACACAAATGCACAAGTATGGATCAAATTTGGTGAGCGTCTATTTTAGAAGCAATACTTGGTGTGTCCCCCTGGATATTTGCATACGCATATTTTGGAAACAAAGCTAGATGAAAGGAATGTCGTGTCAGAAAGATAGACCACAAGAGAAAAGCTGGTGGTTGTGTAGCTTTTAATAAAGTTCTCTGCAATGCCCCGAGGCACCCCAGTGTCACCAACAATCATATAAACAGGAAAATACGACATTCTAAAACACACAGGGCACTGGAAACTCGGCTCCTCACTTTGAACAGCCTTTGTTTAAAACAAACAGTTTTATCTCGTTTTACTTTTGTACCCAACTCCCTTTTTATGAGCTTTACACATAAACTGTTCTCTAGAGGAGTGTCTGACTATTAATAACAATCCTCTATGTCAATAAACGAGACCTTCTGACTTATGCGACCTTTCCTCCTGTGGCTTCAGTCAGTGTGTGCCCCCAGTCAAGACAATCGGAAAACCATTTGGTCTATAACATTTTTAATAGAGTGAACCTTTTAAAAACTGCCAAAAACTTCTTGGCAGAAGGAAAGCTATGTTGGGGGAAAAAAAAACGGGCTCTGTTACCACAGTTTGTATAAGTGTTTCCACATATTGCTGTATTTCAAACACATAGTGGACTTAAATGAGCTCTAGAATATCAGACACATGCTCTGCAGATTTCTCTTCTACTGAGATTATAAAAGACAGAACACTTAATCTGAAGGCAGAACGGGAGAAGGGGCATTGGGGGGACATATTTGTGTTGTTTTTTTTTTTTTCATCAGAAGGGAAATAATGTATAAAAGAGATGATTCATCTTACTCTAAATAAAATATACTGACACTGTTGTTTTTTTTTTTTTTTTAAGAGATGACAGTTCTGTTAAGGAACAAGTTTATACAACGCTTTTATCCTCTGAACTGTTTGGATTAGAGACTTTTTTTTTTTAATGGTAGATTTGGAAATGAAAATGACAAATGCCAAGAATGAGCTTCATAATTTTCATGTTCATTAAAATCTACCCCACCCACAATTTACAATGTGTATCTCTTGCCCAACCTCAACTATGCAGGGAGACCAGCGCCGGGGAGTGAAGGGGCCTCCACTGCCGCAAAGGCCAGTACTGGCCGCAGCCTCAGCCCTCCGCTCACTTGGGGAACTGGTCATTCTAATATTGTAAGGGAGGAAAGGCAGACGTGCAGATCACACCCTAGAAGAATGAGCACATCGCCGTGAGGCTCATTCTTGTCGTCTGTAGTTGCCTCTCCATGGATGTAACAACTCGTGTTGGGCAGAGAATGTCTGGGAGCTTGTGCCGACGCCGGGGAAGGGGGTTGGGAGATGGGGGGCCAGGACAGAGGCTCTTCATGTGCATCGTCAGGATCTGCCGCCTGAGTGGGTGGGAGGGCACGGGGCCTGGAGCCTGAAGGATGGGTGGGGCAGCCCCTCCGCCACGGCAGAGCTCCACTGCGCCACCAGCAGGGTGAAGGCAGCATCATTGTCCTTCATCTCCTTTAGAAGGTTGTGGGGCAGATGATACCAATGAACAGCCTTCATTCAAAAAGAAGTGCAAAAAGTCTAGCAAGTCTTCCTCTCAGAGATGGTCCCTGGGTTTGTCTAAGACCCAGGGTTAGGATTAGCCGGATGATGCTTTCCCACACCTTCATGAAAGGGGCTGGGGCATTCCTGACTAGCTCTGCTATTGAATGGATTTAAAGGCAAGGATTGTTAGGTACAGGGTGGGTAAGAGAAGTATACGAAAGGAACCAGAAGAAAGCAACCCCCTCCCCTGACACCCATTCCCTGTAGGTGGGGTGGGGATGGGGGAGTGGTGAGCCTGTTTTCCATGTGAGTAGCAGGTTCAAGTTCACAAAAAGGGCTTTCCATTGTGCCATCAAGATTTTGGACAACTGCCCAGATCTTGGTTTCAAATTCCATTCCTAAATGGAACCAGGGAGACTTCTCGGAGAATGTCTGATTCCAGGGCCAGGGCAGGGAAAGTACGAGGATCAATGAAGCTGGAATATCTAATTGTGCCATAAAGTAGGAACGTGCTCAGAAAGTGGTGAGGCATGTCAAAAGGACAGAGAAGGCAGCTTGGAGACTCCCACTGGCTAAATCTAGGACAGTCTGAACACCAAAATAAGTAATAATAGGAATCTACAAATCCATAGTTAGAAGAAATAAACCAGTTTTTAAACACATAAATGAATAAGTGGGGGAAGAGGGGAGACCCTTGCTTAGAGTAGAATGCCAGTCAATAAATGTAGAATAAGAGAGTTGAAAATCACCATTTGACAACTACCATAGTTATCACTGATTCTGGAGAGTATCATCAAAGGAGACTAAAATTGTTGGCTCAAGTTCAGTGGGGACAGAACATGTATACAGTCTGAAAGTATCTCCCCATGGATTATTACTTTCAAAGGGAAAAAAACAGTAATTTTACACTTGAGAAACCTGGCGACATCACTTAGACCAGGTCACTACCAAATCTGGGACAAAGTGGCATCACATGTGTCCTGATGTCAACAGTAAGAGGAACATCTCAGAAAGGCATAACTCAAGGCTAATCACATGGAAACATGAGGCAAACCCCAAGTGACTCTTTAGCAGGGTTGAGGTCCTGAAAGACAAAGAAAGGCAGAGAGGGTCCTTGTTGCCCCATTTCTTTCTTGGCTCAGGCTCTGGCTGTCATCAGCTGCTTCCGGGGAAGAAAGAGACCCTACTCACCCCAACGGGCTGATGAAAAGATATGAAAAGCACTTGGAAAAGAGAAACATTTGCTTTTCGAGAGAACTTTTTCCTGAGTAGCAGTGAGCAATTACTGTGTGAAGGAGGGGGCGACTGATACCTACAGTGGCCAGCCTGTGCGTATAGCCACTTGACGCTGGGAGCACACACACTGTCCAAAAGGCAGCCAGTCCTAGACAGGACTCGATGAGACCCCTGTATAGGATGCATTATGAGCCATGAGCCACGAAACAATAAGGAATCTGTTTTTAAAGAACGCCTGGAGTCAGATGGTCCAGTTCAAATCCCAGCTCTGCTGATCATCAGCTCTGTGGTGTTGGGTAGGCTACACAACACCCCCTAAGTCTGGATTTTCTCATCTGTAAAATGGGAGTGATCGGGATGGGCAGATCGAATGAGATAATTCACGTACAGTTTTTAGCATAATGTCTGGCACACAGTAGGTGCTCAATAAATATTATCATTTACTACCATATAATAAAATACAATGACTATTACTCTTCATCTTCATTCCCGTCATCTAACAGAAGGCCTGGAGGGCATGTGATGTGCATTTAACAAATGTCTCTTGATGCATTAACAAAGAGAAAGTAATGCAGGAAACAAGACAGACGCTGATATTTATAATATATGAATCACTGCTAAAGACCTAGCTGAGCTCCAGCTAATGTCAAAAACAGGCAAATGTTATTAGCATATAAGGAATCACGGTGTTGTGTGCCATTCTCTTGTGCAAGACCATTACTTTGTTAACTTACAATCCGGCTGAGCTTAGGAGAGGCTTGAGACGATCATTCTCTATAAACAGGGAGGAAGGCCTCTCAACCCCAGCATAGAAAAGCAAGACATACAGCAATTCCCCTTTATCCGAGATTCTGCTTTCCACGGTTTTAAGTTACTGGTGGTCAACCACAGTCTGGAAGCAGACGATCCTCCTTCTGACATATGGTCACTTACTGTTACATCATAATGCCTACATTATTCACCTCACTTCATCTCATCATAAGAAGGGTAGTATGGGTGCAATAAAGATATTTTGAGAGAGAGAGAGACCACATTCATATAACTTTTATTACAGTATCTTGTGATAATTGCTCTATTTTATTATTAATTACTGTTGTTAATTTCCTACTGTGCCTAATTTATAAATTCAACTTTATCATGTATGTATAGGAAAAAACAGTATACATAGGGTTTGGTACCATCTGCAATTTCAGGAATCACGGGGGGTCTTGGAACAAATTCCCCTCAGATAAGGAAGACTACTGTACTCAATTCACACTTCCATGTGAAGATCAAGCAAATCGGGGCACCTGGTCGGTTAAGCGTCTGCCTTCGGCTCAGGTCATGATCCCAGGGTCCTGGGATCGAGGTCTGCATCGGGCTCCTTGCTCAGCTGGGAGCCTGCTTCTCCCCCTCCCTCTGCTGCTCCCCCTGCTTGTGCTCTCTCGCGCTCTCTCTCCCTGACAAATAAATAAATTCTTAAAAAAAAAAAAGATCAAGCAAATCATGTTTCACTGCCAGGCGGGAATGGGAAAATAAACGAGAGAAACTTAAGTTTAAATAAACACATAATTACAAATGATAAAAGGTGTGTACACATTGTTCCTGGTCATTGATCTGTAATAGTAATCTGTCCAGGTTTTCAAGAGGAGGCAAGGAAAGTTCCCAAGAGAGAAGTTTCCATCTTTCTTGCTTCCTCAAAAGGGCTCTCTGCCCTCAGTCTCTCTCCTGCTTCCTTTTGGTCGTTTCCAGCCTACCAGTTCTTCAGGGTACCTTCAACTTCCTCGAGGGCCGTTGTTCAGTTGGTGGTGCAAGGCCTCCATCTTGGGTATTCTTCTCCCCTTCTCTTCCCTCTTTGCCGTGGTGCTCACGGGATAGCTAGACTATGAAGCTGGACAGCGCTACATTGGATTCATTGTGTTTTCATGCATTTCATCTCAACCACGAAGTGGTAAGCTCATGACCAGTCCCATGTCTGGAAGACAATTGTAAATCAAGCACCTAGCACAGCGCCTGGAACAAAGCAGGCTCCGTATCTTCCACTTGTTCTTTGCTGACCCTGGCCTTTGCTTTTCTTTGGCAACACTTTGCCCCTCTGTTGTGGAGTCCTTCCCAGGGCTCCTCTGTAACCTCCTACTCTTTCCCACCTTCTCTGCTCCCCTTTTTCCCTCCTACCTCCCTCCCTTCTTCACTCCATCCTTTAAAAACTTCCCTCAGAGGAAAAGTTATGCCATTTCCCGTAAACTTGGCATAGCTCTTCTTTCCTCCTCATGCTATATTTACTCCATATACCAGTTCTAGTCAGCTCCCCAGCTGCCTTTGAAATGTCATAGGTTCTCATCACATTGGTGAGGCTCACATGAATCCACTATATTCGTGGCCTTCATAACTGGAATTACTTCAAATATTTTTTTCTTGCCCTTAGTCTGTTCTTTCTCTATCCCGTCCTTCCATATGCCACCAGAATAACCTCTTTTATAGAAGACTTTCATGAGTTCAGTCTCCTATTCCAGAACCTATAGATGTTTGCCTATGGAATTCAACATGTTTAAATTCTGCTAGAGGCTTCAGAATGGCTCCATAAACCAAGTCTTCCTAACAGAACCACTTAGGAAAAAGAAGAGAAATAGAATTAATGCATTTTGGAGGAAGCACAATTAAAGCTGCTGTGGTGTTTGAAGATGGGAAATGTGTCCACGTCAAGGGTAGAGGGAATCAATTCAATGCAATGTTAAAGCAAGGTAATGGAAAACTGAAAGTGGTGATTCATGAGGAGAGGCATCTCTCTCTAAAACAGTCTAAAAGAAAGGGAGAGATTTTAGTCCTAAGACTACGATGGCCCTAGTAATGATGGAAGCAACGTCAGCTGCCAGCAATGAACCGAGCAGGGACCGATAACTCTAGAAAGGCTTAGGCAGGAATATCCGCTCATTCACTCATGCCACAGATGTACTGACCAGCTACTTACACGTGAATTAACACTTCTTAGTACTTTCTCACTTTTCTCACGGGGCTTTTGCATTTGATTACATAGGGCCGACCACAGGGGCATAGATGTGCCCATTCAGTTGTGATCTTCTTTGACTCATTGTCCGAGCCTGTTGGGATCTTCTTGAGTCCCGACTCTTGTCATTCAGTGCTCTCCCTTCTAACTTTGTGTCATCTTTTGAGAAGCTGATAAGTACGTGTCCTATATTTTCTATTACAAACATTTCTAAAGATGTGGAGTGGGATAGCGCCAAGACATGCAGAATACCATGTGAGGTCTCTCTCCCTACGGACATGGACTTTTTCACAAGCTCCCTTTTGGTGAGGTTCTCTTGCCGAGGCTGCATCTCCCCACTTATTCCAAGAGGAGATCATGAAAGAGCTCATCAAGTATTTTGCTGAGGTCCAAATGCACCAATTGTCACTCCATTTCCCTCATCAAGGTGACAAGTAAATGAATAACACCGGCAAGTAGAAGAGTATAGTCAGATTGACAAAACTTGTTTTTAACAAACATATGCCAAATGGTGGTGATTTCTCTTTCCAAGTGCCTACAATTTCTTTAACGGACAGAGATTCTTGCCTTGTACTGACAGCAAGTTCACTGCTCCACAGTTTGGAATTTTGCTTCTCTTTTCATGGAGCAGAATTACATATGTCTGTTTCTAAACTTTTTTTTTTTTAAGATTTACATATTTTAGAGAGAAAAAGAGAGAGCATGAGTGGGAGAGGCAGAGAATCTCAAGCAGACTCCACGCTGAGTGCAGAGCCTGATGCAGGGCTCAATCTTACCACCCTGAGATCACGACCTGAGCCGAAACCAAGAGTCAGACGCTCAATGGACTGAGCCACCCAGGCACCCATTTCTAAGTTTCTGACATCATTTTTCCTTGGTCCCACAGAGATCATCTCCCTCAGTCTAGAGAGATAATTTCCAAATTTTTTCAGTATCCTTTTTTACCAAAAAATAAAAACAACAACAACAACAACAACAACAAAACAGCCCATATACTTCCTATATGACCTTTGTGAAACCCTGGCAAGACTTTAGTATGTGTTATAACACAGGCTGTGGAGGAGACCAGAATCGAAGTCTTTGGAGACTTCAGTTGCTGAGACGGGTTTAGGTCACTGACTCTTGGGATGGGTTGGTATCTTGCATCCTAGACATGCATGTGGTTTGGTAATTACTTGAATTCCCTCTCAACCAGAGATTCCTGAAAAATCAGCTTCCAAGCAATTTTTCTTCTCTCACCCCACCCGCATTGCTCATCCCTGCCATCAGTACCTTCAGAGTATCAGAGTGTAAGATCTACTAGTCATTAAGATTGGACTTACCCACTTGCCCAAGCCTGGATAGTCATGTTCTGGATCAAAGAGGTGCTGGTGCAACTGGAATTCTCGACTGAACTCTGCTGTGTCGGGGGTGTTCTCTAGACATCCGTCATCTACTGCAAACAGCAAAAGGCTTTTGAGGAATGGCCCAGGCATCTATTGTTATTCTAAGAGTGAATTTATTCCAAAACAACCGGAAATCCCAAGGTAAGCATCTGTCCACATCAGTCACTCTGGAATCTGCTAGTCCCAAGCTCTCACTCCTCCTCGCACCTGTGGCAGAGACTGGCTGGCTACTCGCCAAACCCACTTCCCTTGCCCCCTCGGCACACAGCTAATTTCCCAGCCTTGCCCTGCAGTCAGGTGGAGTCATATGGCTGAGTGTGTGCCAGTGGAATGTGGGCACAAGTGATGTATTCCATTTCCAGGCCTGGCCCATAGAAACCTCTGATATGATCCCCGCTCCCACCCACCCTCCACCTCATCGGCTGCTCTGCCTGCTACATGCTGCCAATCAGGGCAACTGGGACTGTTGCAGGTCAAAAGGAAAGATGGCACTTTGGGTGGCTGAGCCACCCGCCCCTGCCACACCCTCACCCACCTCTGGCAGGACCTCACGTGAGCGATAAATAACCTTATGTTGTATTACCACTATCATTTTTATCTGTTATAAGAGCAAATCATTCCTTAACTAGTATACTTCAATTCCACATGACTCATGGTGTTTTCTCTTGGGTGAGCTCCATAGAAACAATTTCAGCTTCTTGGAGAAGGCCCCTTATATAAGAATGACAACATCACCAGACAATATTGAGGTGTGTTATCGTGGTGATGGCGGCAGCTTGGAGTCAGACGGACCAGCACTCAGGGTTCCCATCCTAGCTCGTAAGTGACAGATGGTCTTAATTCCTCGGGAAGATTAACTCTGTCTCTCTAAACCCATCCATCTACGAGAGGGGCAGAATCAAGGACTTACCTGACTGGGTAGCGGTGAGAAAGAGATGATCACACACAGAACACCTTGCACATAATAGGTTCACTCTGCTTTAGTTCCTTTCCCAGCATCTCTTTTTAAATGACAATTGATACTCTGACAGCTCTTTGAAATAAGCTTGTCTTTCAGTCAAACCCAAGAATGGTTATCCCACTTGGCTGTTGCTTTGACCTAAGCCCTATCATTACAGGAGGTGAGGTTCTGAAATTAAGTCCCTTTTTTCTGTCTCTAATGTGCTTTTAGACAATAGCTTCAAAGGGTGGGCGGCAGAGGAGGGGGTGTGAATTTTGCATGGGGCTGGGGAGGGAGGAAAGAGAGTCCTTTTGCAAAGGGATAATGAGGCCTCAAAGTCAATGCTAAAAGGAGTCCACAAGAACCAGCCAGATAGTTCGGTCTCTTGAGCCTGCTCTGAAGCCTTCCAGCAGCCTGAAGCATCTAGTGTCTTCACAGGAGGAAGCTCGTGTGGAGTCATTAGGTTTGACCAAACCCCTAACGTGGCTCCCCACTTTTCACGGAACTGCTTATCTAATTTCTTCATCTACAGCAATTACCATGTAAGAAAGAGACAGCCAATCCAGAGAGTTCAGGCAGTCTGCATAGGGCAGCTTAACAACCTGTTCATAATTGTTTCTCCAGGACTTCCGAGTGGGCCTGGACTGCAATGTAGAGATATAGCCCTGCTCTGGGAATGGCAGTATCTCAGGGCCTGAAAACGTGCCCTGGGATTCGCATCCTACGCCTGAGGATGTGCTCTCTGTGATCCGCTGCTCTATCCAGGGTGGCTGGACCACGATTCAGAAGAGAGCATGGCAGGGGAGGGGGAAGCCAAGGTTTTATTCTTGGATTGCTCAACTGTGCGGTGTCATGATTCTCATTGAGGCATATCTCAAGCAATCTCTAAACAAATAATGTCTAAATTTTGCCAACGATTTCCTTTCTAGAGTGAAAATAATGGTAGAACATAGAGTGAGAAACATGTTTGCTTAGTGTCCGGATAGCAAAGAAAAATGGCAGACAGTGTGTGACAAGGAAGAGTCTGGCAGTTGTCATTTGACCCAGCTCTATCAGCCCTCCTGGACTGCCCTGTCTCAGAACTCCTGTGTGCATAAAACTAGTGCTTGATTACACGGATCTGGACTCTTTCCTTTCCTAGGACAGTCTAGAACTGCATTTATGTTTTTGAAGGCACTGACTATGTCTTCATTTTACTGATGAAGAAACTGAGGCACAGGGAAGTAGACTGACATACTATAGTTAGGACTAGACCTCAGATCTCTTGGCTCAAACTCCGTCCAATCTCCTACAACAGTGGTTCTCAAACTTCAGTACGTGCCAGATCGCATGGAAGGCAGGTTTCTGGGACCTACCCCAGGAGTTTATGACTCAGTGGGTCTAGGGGAGAGCCTGAAAATTTGCATTTCCCACAAGTTTCCAGGTGATACTGATGCTGCCGGAAACCTGGGACCAACCTGGGACAACACTTTAAGAACTACTATATCGTACTGTATCTAATCAGTTTAACCAACTCCCCATGGAGACTGTTGCTCTTCAAATTCTGGACTGGTCTTTCCTCCCACCCATTCAAAACCCTACAAGCACATAAAATGTGGCTGCAGTGATTGGCTCTGTGTAGTGATTCAGGTTTTCCAGCAGCCGGCCCAGTATTTCTCCATTGACTAGGTTACATCCAACTACTCTGGTTGCTCCAGAGGCTCTGTGCCCCATAGAAAACAGACACCTACCCTAAATGAAAGGAGGAGTATCTTTCAGGGAAAGCTTCTTCCAGAGAAAGCCTGCATTGTGTTTAAGAAAATCTGAGGGGCCGGAGCGCCTGCGTGGCTCAGTCGTTAAGCGTCTGCTTTTGGCTCAGGTCATGATCCCAGGGTCCTGGGATCGAGCCCTGCCTCGGGCTCCCTGCTCAGCAGGAAGCCTGCTTCTCCCTCTCCCACTCCCCCTGCTTGTGTTCCCTCTCTTGCTGTGTCTCTCTCTATGAAATAAATAAAATCTTTAAAAAAAAAATCTGAGGGGCCAATACTGTCAGAATTTTCAGAGCAAGACGTCACGGTGGTTGAGCACACCGTCCTGAATCAGGTAGACCTGGGTTTGAGTCTTGGCTCCACTACTTGCTAAGAAGATAAGCTTGGACAAGCTATGGCCTAAGCTTCAGTTTCCATACATGCAAAGTAGGGGTAATAAATACCAACTATTGTTATTGTAGGTTTGGGGAAAAAGATTATTCTGGTGCTAGAAGTTAACACAAGCCCAACGAGAGTGATGCGTTATTTACTAGCGGCAAAAACTAATTCTAATCAGGATGCCATTTAATGAATCTTTACTTTGTGAAAGGCATTGCACTGAGTGCTTAACGTGGATAATTTCATTTAATTCCCACAACAACTCCCATTTTGCCAATGAGGAAACTGAGGTGCAAACTGGTTAATTAGCTTGTGCAAGGTCACATATCTTGACCTTGGTTTTGAATTCAGGTAGTCTGAGTTTAAAGCCACTACTCTTAACCACCAAGGTTAGCTGCTCAAGGCCCACCATAAGGGTAGTCCACTCACCATTCATTCTCTTTGGCATCAGGGAGTAGGAAAATGGAAGGGAGATACGAGAAGCAAAGGAAAGTTTCAAGCTTCTCCCTTAACCAACTTCTTATCTTCCTGGACCCACTGTCTCTCATGCCACCTCCTGACCCCAAGGAAATATCTCAGGATTGATGTTGTTTGTGACATGGATAAAATGTCAACTGTCAAAGGAAGTAAGGAAAAACAGTGGACATGGATAATCCACAAACTAGTAAGTTCCAAAGACACTAAAAGTGGGCAGCAGCTGTATCACAGAAAAGGCAAAAAGAAAATCTTTCTCCATTTTTATTAAAAGAGTAGCAAGTGCAGAAAAAAGCATCAATTCCTAAAGAGGGAGAAAGACTGAAGGTAAAGCTTCGGCAAGGGAATCTTATGTGGGTGTATCTGACTGCCAGAACACACCAAGGGTTCTATAATAAATTAGATCTACCTACAAAACATAGGGGGGGGTCATTAGGATAAAAATACTATTTCTCAGAATACTTGTAGCAGATTTCCTCCCAAAGACTCTACCATCCATGAGAACCCAAGGGCATGCCCATTACCTGTTTTTCCAGCCGGACAGGGATTTGGAGGGTCCGGGTAGCCCTGATCTTCACTAAAGTCCTTAGGAATGTTGTCACCAGTCAACTCTGCCACAATGTTTGGGATGTTGCCAAAAGGACCCAAGTGCTGAAGACCTTCATGGGCTCCACCTGCCAGGGAATCAGAGTAGTTCACTTCAGTGCAATTAAATTCATTTCAACCAATATGTACTCAGGCAAAGCACTGTGATCTATACTGTGGAAAGAGAATAAGAAATCGAATAGTTCCTGCCCTTTAGGGCTTAAAACTTTAGTTGTGGAAACAGACACATGCCCCCACATGTACCATTTCCACACAAGGCATTAGATACGAGACCTAATAGAAATGTTAATACAGCATCATGGGAGCATGGTGAAGGGAGAGTTTCATTTGGCTGATAGGATGGGGAGGGCTTCCGGGACGAGCTGGAACTTGCGTGGCACTTGGGGGCAGGGTAGAGGAAGAGACAGGGAGGCAACTGCTGCCAGGCATGGGAACAGGCTGAAAGACAACACATTTCCAGAAAAAGAAAGAAAAGGGGCACCTGGATGGCTCAGTCATTAACCGTCTGCCTTCAGCTCAGGTCATGGTCCCAGTGTCCTGGGATAGAGCCCCACATCAAGCCCCCCATTGAGCCCCACATCGGGCTCCCTGTTCAGCGGGAAGCCTGCTTCTCCCTCTCCCATTCCCCCTACTTGTGCTCTCTCTCTCTCTGTCAGATAAATAAATAAAATTTTAAAAAAAAGAAAGAAAGAAAGAAAAAAGTCACTGTCCTCCGCCACTTAGAACAACAACTTAAAATTTGGTATATTTTCTTCAATCCTTTCTCTTCTGCATATCTCTTTATACTTAAGTGTTTATTCATGTTCATTTAATATTAAAGCACAAGCATCTGCCCATGTGGCTGCGTGGTCTCTTCTCACATAATTACAAATGGCTATGTTGTTTTTCTATCCAGTGGCTGTACCACAACATATTAATCATTCCCCTATTGTGGGGCATTTAGTGTTTCCCAATTTACTCTTAGGAATTTAATTTTTTCCATATTTTGGATTAATATTTCTCAGGATAGATTCCCAGAAGTCAAATTACTGGGTCAAAGGCCATAAATATTTTTATAGGTCTTTATATTATATTGCCACGCTGTTTTCCAACCTGGAAAAGGAGGTACCAATTTATAAAATAAGGTCAACAAAATATGAGAATACCATTTTTATAATATCTCTACCAGCATTGGGTTTTATAAAAATAATTTTTGTTTTCCTTGCTAATTTAAAAGGTGTTTGGAAAAATTACTCTCTTATTTTTAAAGTCCTTGATTACCAGCTCAAATATATTTCCATGTGTTTATTTACTAGCTTTAATTTCTTTTTTTTTAAGATTTTATTTATTTATTTGAGAGAGAGGGAAAGCACAGAGGGAGAGTGACAGGGAGAAGCAGACTCCCTGCTGAGCGGGGAGCCTGACGTAGGGCTCAATCCCAGGAGTCGAGGATCATGACCTGAGCCGAAGGTAGATGCTTAACCGACTGAATCACCCAGGTGCCCCGTACCAGCTTTAATTTCTTTATGCAAATTGTCTGTTTATGCTCTTGGAATTTTAATCATTTCTCTTATCAAGTTGCATGAACACTTTACATAGTAAAGATAACAAGACTTTGGCTGTTAACATCTCCTGCAACCACGTTCCCATTTCCTCTGACTCCGAATTCTGGTTATTATAGCAATATTTTGCAACCGTAAGTTTTTAATATTTATGTAGTCAAATATGCTCTTGTTATTCTCCTTTGTGATTTCTTCTTGTCTTTTTAAATTTATAAAATTGGGTGGCGCCTGGGTGGCTCAGTCGTTAAGCATCTGCCTTCGGCTCAGGTCATGATCCCGGGATCCTGGGATAGAGCCCCACATCGGGCTCCCTGCTCTGCGGGAAGCCTGCTTCTCCCTCTCCCACTCCCCCTGCTTGTGTTCCCTCTCTCGCTGTGTTTCTCTCTCTGTCAAATAAATAAACAAAATCTTTAAAAAATAAAAAATTAAAAAAATAAATTTATAAAATTGTTGCCTTTTCAGGAGTACTACCAACAGTTGGATATTTTAGTTTTTCTATTTTTCTTTCTTTCTTTCTTTCTTTCTTTTTCTTTCTTTCTTTCTTTCTTTCTTTCTTTCTTTCTTTCTTTCTTTCTTTCTTTCTTTCTTTCTTTCTTTCTCTCTCTTTCTCTTTCTTTCTCTTCTTTCTTTCTTTCTTTCTTTCTTTCTTTCTTTCTTTCTTTCTTTCTTTCTTTCTTTCTTCTTCCTTCCTTCCTTCCTTTCTTTTTAGTGCATGTAAAATAATTAACCAATTATCCCACCAGCATTAGTGAAGTAATCCTATCTTTCCTGTTCAGGAAGCTTACTCTACCAGCACTATAGCAGACTATTTCTTGGAATGAATTCCTATCTAGTAATTGTATTGGGACATAGCTCTCTTAATGCAAAAGGTATATCTTACACATGAAGGGTCAAATCAAAATCAAAAGGTGCCTTGGTTGGTGTGCATGAATTTAGAGTCAAAATCAGGCTATGATAGCCACACTTCCAGGAGAAGGCTCCATAGCTCAAGGGTTAGAGCACTCGTCTCGTACAATAGCCACACGTCCACCTCCACAGGACATCTTGCCAATAGGTTATATTATTTAAGCCCAGCTGGATGAGGTACCCTTCTCCCCTGGATGAGATGTGTCAAGGTTATTGCTCTGACACCTGCTTTTTTGGCGTTTTTGACTGAACCAGCTCCCCTTTGGAGCAACACATTTTTTTCCTTTGGAAATATTAATATATTCAGTAGGATCATGGTTAGATCTTAGTGTCCTGGGATTCACACTGTCTTTGAAATGACCTTGTATCATCCTGTCTTAATTTATTACGTCAGATTAAAGTTGATCTTTAAAAGGATAATTGTACCTCCTTCAATTTCAAATTTCTCTAGCCCCCAAAACATAGATATCATCAAGTAGCTGGGTTGTTTCATTTACATTTATATTATATTTCATTGCTTTGTGATGGGAGTGAGTAGTCTGCAAAATTTCTACATTAAAAAAGGTATTATTTTGGGGCACCTGGGTGGCTCAGTCAGTTAAGCGACTGCCATGCCATTAAGCTCAGGTCATGATCCTGGAGTCCCCAGATCGAGTCCCACATCAGGCTCCCTGCTCAGCAGAGAGTCTGCTTCTCCCTCTGACCCTTCCCCCTCTCATGTGCTCTCTCTCTCTTTCTCATTCTCGCTCTCTCAAATAAATAAATAAATACTTAAAAAAAATAAAAATAAAAAAGGTATTATTTTTGGAAAATGTCCATGTGAACGTTTAAAATAAGATGTAATTTTGTATCTATCACAGTCTGATGGTTTAATCCTATCTTAATTTGATGGTTATGTGTTAAAATCTATTACTACTAGTAAGTCTCTCAACCTCTTATTCCTCGATGTTTTTGCTTTAGCATTTTGATAATATGAGAGTTGCCATGTTCGAGAGTATAAATTCTTCATTTTAATTGTGCTATTAATTGGCTATTGAGTAAAAATGTAATTGACAAATCATATTTCTCCCATTAGCCTTGCTGCTCTTCATTCTGTTGTTTTGCTGGGTAAATCTTTGATCATCCTTCTATTTGTAACCTTCTGTGTCTTTCTGATGGATTTTCCAATTCCTCCTGTGGTGCCTGCCTTCAGAGAAGTTCAAGGGATTCCTATTTATTAACCCAAGACATGCAAAAGGTTAAACAGATCAGCGCCCTTGGTATTGATACATTTGAAACTTTGTATAATCTTGGCAATGCATTCACCACTGTGTTTGCTATAGGGCATGCTCTCTGGTGTGTCAATACATGTCTCAACTTTTGAAAGCACCCTAGCCTTAAGTGCCAGGAATTATCCAACTTGGCTTAGGGGAGAATGCATGTCTTCTTAATGCTCCATTAGTAATTAATGAAGGAAGCAAACACAGTTTCCTTTACGGAAGGCCTGCCAAGGCTCTGTTTACCTCTGTGCACCAGGGCCATTAAAATGAATGCAGCACTTGTTAGGGAGTAGCAGATGTTTCTTACCAGGCAGATACATTATAACACAGGCTCTTTTAAAAACTACATTTAATGACCTCAAATCAAGAAACACTGAGGTAAGAACTGTGGGAGATACATGGAAGTAACAAATGCTATCCTTCTCTCTCCAGGAGCTTGAATTTTGTAGACAAGAAACCACATTTAGGTAATAATTAGAAAATGATATAGTTGAGTATGCAACCAAATGCTAGTTATCAGGTTCATTATGTTTAGATTATGTTAATTTCTTATACCTGAAACCAAGTCAATCAAAATGTTATGATGCAATGGATGCTCTTTGTTCTATTTGTCACAGTCTCAACCAAACACAGAGTTTAAAATCATTAATTAGTCAGTTTAAAAAATATGTATTGAGCACATACTACAGACTACATACCAAGACCTGGACTAAGTGCTAGAACCAGGTAAACGGGGGCCCTGCTTTCACAGTTTACAGTCTGCAAAAGATGCACAGATAAGAACACACTTGCAATGCAGAGTTGGAATGCACTTCTAATGTAACTGGGATACAGCACGATGTCACAGGCATGAGGGGAGAAACATCTAACCCAAATGTGGGACATGGAGGACTTCTTGCAGGAAGCAACATACCAGTGATTACGTTAGGTGCTGCAGAAGACAAATGTAAAAGACATGGTTCCTACTCTCTAACTCGTTCTTTATTCTAGATGGTTCTTCAAGGTTAACACAATAAGCCAGTGGTATATGATAAGATACATCCCCTGACATAATTCATTATGGTACAGACTGTAAATGATGTAGAAATTCAGGGAACAGAGAACCTGCCAAGAAAATACCCGTGAAAGAGATGACCCTTGAGTTGGAATCATCATCAAAGACAGGATCCATCTTTACAGGTAGCAAAGGAAGAACCACAAGTGAGAGCGCAGAGGCAGGTATAAAGCAGGGAAGTTTTGAGCATCCGTAATGAGCACTGTTGGGGAAGGGAGGGAGCTGGATGGAAGGAGAGAAGGCCAATGCCAGGCAGAAAAGTATGAATTAACATAGGAATAAATGGCAACCAAACTTTCTGGGCAGGA